AGGTATACGTGCGAGGTCGTAGTTTACAGGCTCATTGTCCGAAGGCTACTGCGCTACCCCTATTCGGTCTGATCTGTAGAGCTCGGTCGGCAAATGCAGAGCCTCACTTGCGGCTACGACGAATGAGCGACATCCTTCTGACCGGCAGTGCTGTTGACGTGGTGGTCCTCCTCCTCCTCCTCCTCCTCCTCCTCCTCCGCCACCTCCTCCTGCTCATCCGCCACCTCCTCCTCCTCTCCACCGATGTACGCATCTTTTTTGTTGCGCACCACGCCATGGGGTCATTATGGGTCATTTGGGAGACCCACGTCTGCTAGGAAATCTGTTGATTTAAAACGTATGGACAGGGATTGGTGGGGGAAGGGTCGAGTGTCAGATATGGCGCGCGCACTTTTTTCGTCGGCGGCGAGGCAGTGGTAGTCCGCTCCTGGCTATTTGGGGCAACCGAAAGGCGAATTGGCTGGCGTGCAAGGCGCGCGCACACCTGGCTTGTCTTCCACCTGGTATCCTTTCCCCCCCCCCTTTTCCCATCCCTCCCTCCGCTTTCTTGCTCTCTCTCTCTCTCTCTTTCATCATCTCTTTTTCCCTTCTTCCCTTTTGCTCTCTCCTTCCTTCTCATGGCCATCCATGGCCCCCTGGCCTCAAGCCCCGGCCCGCTGCCGCAACGCGCCGCCCACGAAGGATGGGGCAGAAAGAGGAGGAGGAGGAGGAGGAGGAGGAGGAGGAGGAGGAGGAGGTGCAGACAAGCCTCTGGCGTTCCGGGACAAATCACGCCGTCCTGTTCTTGCCCAAGCCTGGGGCCACCAAAGCAGCCCCCAGGTCGAAGCGCCCGTCCCCAGGACGGCAGCGAGAGGTCCGGGACGGGGTGGCGGGGGGCACGCCACAGGTGCGGGGAGGCGAGAGGGGCCGACGGCGCGTACGGGCCCCACCGAGAACACCCCTGCCGTATTGAAGTGCTGCTTCCCTCGACCGACCACCTCGCTCACGCCGCCGGCTTTCTCCGGCACGCTGTCGGCGGAAACAGCGCGAAAGAAACGGGCACTGGAAGACGGGGGTCCTGCATGTTATGTTTTGTGGGTCCCGGGGCCCTCCAGGGGCTCCGGGACAGGCAAGGATAGAGAATGGGCACTTGCGGAAGCCCTGCGTGGGGTCCCGTTTAGGACCCTTCCCTTTCATGGAGACAGAACTTGGCCATAGAGCCCGCCCCGTGAACCCGTCGTGGGTGGCAGGCGCGGTCCGCGGAAGTGCTGCCAGAAGTCAGGCCCCGAACCCGTGGTGGGGGAGGACAGCGGAGGGGAGCTACGGCATGGGTGTGTGAGAACTTGGATGCTTGGCTGCGCTCCCCCCCCCCTCTGCCTTCTGTCAGGTTCCCTTCGTGCTTGCCACTGTCGCTCTCTGCGCCTTACTTGGTGTACGAAGTGACGGTTCTTGTGTCGCCGTGTCGAGCAGGGGGCGTGGGGGAGAGTAGAAATGGGGGGGAGGGAAGGGGGGAACGGGGTAAGGAAGGGGGGGGGACACAGGGAGGGGAGGGGGAAGGATGAACGGGGAGGAGCGGGGGATGCTGTGGAAGCGAAGGGGAATGGAAGAAGGAAGAAGAGGGTAGGGGGCAGAACCGCCACCCTCATGATAAGCACCCCCACGAAGCGAAGCCTGTCAGCAAACGCACCCGAGGAAGGGATCGTACATGTGCAGGGCTGTCTAAAAAACGCCCAGGAAGCGCCAGTTGTGGGGATCGGGGTGGGTTGGGGGAGCTGCCGCGTGCACGCAAGGGCCCGACGATCCCGACCCGCTGGGGTTAGGTCGGGCATGTCCTCCTACAGGGGGATTCTAAACGAAAAATTAAAGACACTCCAAACATGCCCTTGACATTGCGAAACCATCGGCACGAGCGCACGGCAGGCGCGTGAAGTCCGGCGGCGCGGGGCACCCGCGCAACGAGCACCCGGCGTTGAAGAGCTCGATGCCCTGCTTGGCGTGCGTCATCGCCTGGCGGCGGCGCGGGCCCCTCGCTCTCGAGAGGGGCGGAGGCCGCTGGCGGGCGAGGCCCTGCCCCTGAGGTCCTGGCGCCGCGCTCTTTGTTTGCCACGCCAGGCGTCCGCGCCCAGGCTCGGGCCGCCTCCCGGGGGGCCCTCGCAGATTGAGCAGGGACCGACCGTCCCGGCATTCCTGTAGTCCTACCACGAAATGTTCTTAGAACCCAGACATGTTCTAAGAACAAAAACAATGTTCTTAGAACATAAGCCCGATGTGATAAAACAAGACAGACTCCACCAGAAATGTTCTAAGAACATTTCCTGGAAATCACAAAAAGTTCTTAGATCATTGCTTGGTAGGACTATAGGCACGCCGGGACGCTTCGCCACTGCTTGAGCAGAGCGGCCTGGCTCGGGAGACGCTGCGGAGAGGTGGGGCCTGGGGACCTGGCCGCGGATCCGTCGCAGTGCCTCGCCCTCGGTCGCGGTCGCCCAGATGCCAGGGGATGGCGTGCCGCGCGAGGCCGCCTCGAGCACGGGGCGAGCTCGGGGGCGGCCCTGCAGCAGCTGCGTCCCCTGGCAGGTGCAGCGTGCGGTGCGGCCCTGACGGATCTATACACGCCCGAGTCGGAGCAGGGCGAGCTGAGCCAACGGCGGCTGAAAATCGGTCCCTGGGCCCCTGCGGTGGCCTCAGCGCATCAACTTTCCAAGCTGCGCCCCGCCGTGGCGACGAGGGGCCTCGCCGAAGGCCAACTGCCGCTGTCACCCCGAAGAAGAAGACGAAGAAGAAACAACAATAATAATAGTACGAATAATAAGAAAAAGAAAAACAATAACAACAACAATAATAATAATAACAATAAGAAGAAGAATAATACTAAGAAGAAGAAGAAGAAGAAGAAAGCGGACGAGGGGGAGTGCCCGGGGCACCTCGTGCCGTCCCCTGTCCTTGCGCCCGCCCGCCCGCCACTACGGGCCGCCGCCCGGCGCCCCCCGCTCACCGCCCGGCTCCCCTGACAGGAGCGCGACATGCGGTGCGCGGCCGCAGGGGGGGCGGCGGCCAAATCCCAGCGCGCTGGCCTAGTGCTGGGGCCCCCTGCTTGCTCCCACCGCAAGGCCCCCGCTGGCGAAGAGCCGCTCCCGCGCGCAGCCGGCTCGGGCTCCGTTGACCTGGCTGCTGGCCCCCTGGGCGACCGCCCAGGGGGTCCAACAGGGCCGCGTCCGACAGGGCCCGAGGTGCCCGCGGCGTCGGCGCGGCAGTCAGGGGAGCTCAGAATCGAAGCGTTAAGTCGGGTCGTCGACCGAAGTGAATCGCATCGGCGGAAATCGGCAGCCGAGCCGGGAGACGTCGAATCGGCGGAAATCGGCAGGCCAGTAAATCTCCATTGAGAAATCGGCACCCGCATCGGAATCCGAAGTCGAATCGAATCGGAATCAGGAGCCAGAGCATCGGAGGAATCATAGCGAGCCCTTGTCAGCGCCACTGCGCGACAGTGGAGCGAGCTCAGCCGCCCCAAGGCTTGAGCCCTCTGTGCCCAGGTCGCTCTCCCTCCACGCCCGCGGCGGGTGTTCGCTGGCGGAAGGGCAGTCTCGCGGTGGCGGTCTTGGGCCTCTTTCGGGCCACCCTCCCTACAATCCTCAATGCCCCCACGCTGCTTGCCCCTACGTTGCCGTCCGCCCGAGCGGACTGGCCGCTGCCGGAAGCGGTCCCACGGCTTCTCCTGTAACCAATCAGGTCTCTGTTTGCAAGGCTCTGCCCACGGCGATCGAGGGTCCCCTTGCAAACCCGACGTGCTCCCCATTTCAACGGTGTTTGCCTGTATGCCCCTTACTCGGTGCCCCTCCTGTCCCCCATCGGTTCTTCCAGATCCTCGAACCTCGAAGCCTCCTCGATCATCCTCGCTCGTTGTTCGATCCTCCTCGGTCACCTGTCCTCTCCGATCCTCGAACCTCGACGCCCCTCGATCCTCCTCGTTGGTTCCTCAATCCTCGGTCCTCCTCCATCCTCGGTCCACCTTGATCCTCCTCGGTCCCCCTCCGGGGGCCGGGGGGGGGGGCAAACAGATACCGACACCGCTCCTCCCCAGGCCTCTCTTGGGGTGCGTGCTGGCCAAGCAGGAGAATCCAGCCGTGGCGACGAGAGGCGGGTATAGCGCGTCGGCATCTGCTCCGCCTCCGATTTCCGCGCCCCTCGAAGGAGGAGGAGGGAGGAGGAGAGAGGAGGTGGAGGAGGAGGAGGGGGAGGAGGAGAAAGAGGAGGAGGAGGAGGAGGAGGAGGAGGAGGAGGAGGAGGAGGAGAAGCAGGAGGAGGAGGAGGAGGAGGAGGAGGAGGAGGAGGAGGAGGAGGAGGAGGAGGAGCCTCGACATCGCACCGCCGCGGCCGCCCGTGGCCTTGGTGTAGCGGCCCGTGCTCGCGTACACGTGGCCCAGGTCGCCGTAGGCCTGCGCCAGCCGCGCCCGCGCCTGCAGCTGCAGGTCCTCCGAGACCTCTTCGGGGGGGGGGGGGGACGCCGCCGGGGTGGTCGGATGGAGTAGGAGGAGTAGGAGGAGGACGAGGAGGAGGAGGAGGAGGCGGAGGAGGGGGGGAGGAGGAGGAGGAGGAGGCGGAGGAGGAGGAGGAGGAGGAGGAGGAGGAGGAGGAGGAGGAGGAGAAGCAGGAGAAGGAGGAGGAGGAGGAGGAGGAGGAGGAGGAGGAGCAGGAGCAGGAGCAGGGGCGGGAGGCGGTGAGAGGTCGGGGCGGACAATCGGGGGCGAGCGAGCGACTGGGACGAAAGCGGGCAGGACCGCGGGCACCACTGCTGACACTGCTGGGGGAGCAGCGGGAGAGAGTCGGAAACGAGAGAGGGGGGGGGCGACGGACAGCGTCACGAAAACACTCTTGGAACGTCACTGCCACGCCGCACGCCTGGGCTGCCACTCCGCGCCTCCTGTTAGCGCCCAGAGATCACATTGGCAGCCGAACGCGTCACCAGATGCATCGCGAGCTCCGAGGCAAGGGAGAGGGGGGGCGAATCGGCTCACCGGGCG